CAAATCTTAATGGGGGGGGGGGGTCAAGCCGTGCTGTGTGTCAATAGATGCACATAGCTGGGATCGAGCCTGCACGAATGACCCCATTGCAAATGGATTTCTATGGGGGCACTCAGAAGGAAGCTGCTGAGATGTTGACTTGAGTGCTTCCGCTATTAACTTTGAGAATGGATTGTTCCACAGTACCTACAACTACCAATATCAGTAAGGGCTTTATAGTTATATAGTTAGTCTGGCTGAAAAAGTCCATCCAGTTCAACCATTAAAAAAAAAAAAAGTTATAATCCTATACCCACAGTTGATCCAGAGGAAGGCAAAAAAAAAACAAGCAAAGCATGATTGAATTTGCTCCTGCAGGGAAAAAAATGTCTTCCTGATCCCTTGAGAAGCAACTGGATATTCACTGGATCAACTTTACCTATAAATGTTAGTAACCAGTTATATTCTGTGTATCTAAGAGAATCCAGGACTTTTTTAAAGCAATCCACTAAGCTGGCCAGAACCAACTCATGAGGGAGTCTATTCCACATTTTCACAGCTCTCACTTTGAAGAAACCTTTCCGTGTTTGGAGAATAAATTTATTTTCCTCCAGATGTAAAGAGTGCCCCCTTGTCCTCTGTGATGACCTCAGGGTGAATAGTAGAGATGAGCGAATTGAACATGACGAAGTGGAATTCGTTCCGAAGATTTGGAAAAATTCTATTCGCGACGAATCCGAAGATTAGCAAACTTCGGATGCACGAATCGAATTTTCCCAAAAATGGCGGCGACATGTGTGGCGACGGAGAAAATGGACAGAGAAGATGGGGCGGGGATCTCTGGGAAGGCGCGCAGACAAGGCGCGCTGACCCATAATGCATTCATGACATGTGATCGCATTAGCCAATCAGCAGCCAGCCAGCACTGTGTAATGGTGGAGCTATAAACCGTGGCCATCTTAGAATTCTCCATTAGCCTCCAGTCATTCAAGAGAGACAGACCTGTGTGTATTAAGGGACAGAGTTAGGGCCACAGAGACTTTAGGGCCACAGAATCGTTACTCAGGGACACAGAATCGTTACTCAGGGACACAGAATCGTTACTCAGGGACACAGAATCGTTACTTAGGGCCACAGCTATCAAAGAATCGAAAATTTAAAGTGACATACACCCTTTTTTTTTTTTGGTGGCTGTCGTGCACAGTTGGTGCTGCAGTTTGCCGATTGTGCAAAATAAACTGACTTTCTGCTTCACAACCACTATTGTACGTTCAAAGAGTTAAATCCATTTACACGCCGGCTGGCGGTAATATTTTTTTTGGGTGATTAGTGCATTCCAGTGACACAAACGTACAGTTTCCAGCCAACGGCAAGCTGCAATTGACCGATTGTGTACAATAAACTGACTTTCTGCTTCACAACCACTATTGTACGTTCAAAGAGTTAGATCCATTTACACGCCGGGTGGCGGTAATATTTTTTTGGGTGATTAGTGCATTCCAGTGACATAAACGTACAGTTTCCAGCCAACGGCAAGCTGCAATTGACCGATTGTGCTAAATAAACTGACTTTCTGCTTCACAACCACTATTGTACGTTCAAAGAGTTAAATCCATTTACACGCCGGCTGGCGGTAATATTTTTTGGGTGATTAGTGCATTCCAGTGACATAAACGTACAGTTTCCAGCCAACGGCAAGCTGCAATTGACCGATTGTGCTAAATAAACTGACTTTCTGCTTCACAACCACTATTGTACGTTCAAAGAGTTAGATCCATTTACACGCCGGGTGGCGGTAATATTTTTTGGGTGATTAGTAGTGCATTCCAGTGACATAAACGTACAGTTTCCAGCCAACGGCAAGCTGCAATTGACCGATTGTGCTAAATAAACTGACTTTCTGCTTCACAACCACTATTGTACGTTCAAAGAGTTAAATCCATTTACACGCCGGGTGGCGGTAATATTTTTTTGGGTGATTAGTGCATTCCAGTGACATAAACGTACAGTTTCCAGCCAACGGCAAGCTGCAATTGACCGATTGTGCTAAATAAACTGACTTTCTGCTTCACAACCACTATTGTACGTTCAAAGAGTTAAATCCATTTACACGCCGGGGCGGTAATATTTTTTGGGTGATTAGTGCATTCCAGTGACATAAACGTACAGTTTCCAGCCAACGGCAAGCTGCAATTGACCGATTGTGCTAAATAAACTGACTTTCTGCTTCACAACCACTATTGTACGTTCAAAGAGTTAAATCCATTTACACGCCGGCTGGCGGTAATATTTTTTGGGTGATTAGTGCATTCCAGTGACATAAACGTACAGTTTACAGCCAACGGCAAGCTGCAATTGACCGATTGTGTACAATAAACTGACTTTCTGCTTCACAACCACTATTGTACGTTCAAAGAGTTAAATCCATATACACGCCGGGTGGCGGTAATATTTTTTGGGTGATTAGTGCATTCCAGTGACATAAACGTACAGTTTCCAGCCAACGGCAAGCTGCAATTGACCGATTGTGCTAAATAAACTGACTTTCTGCTTCACAACCACTATTGTACGTTCAAAGAGTTAAATCCGGTTTTATTTTTGGGGTGCTTATTGAATTAAAGAGTATGTCAGACAACACGCAGAGGAGTGGGCAGAGGAGGCAATGTTTCAGGAGCGAGCAGACGTGGCAGCAGAGGAAGGGGTCGAGGCAGCACTAGTCGCAGCCAGAGGCCAGTGCTCCCGGTGTCATCCAGCGGTCGTGTCTCCACCGACAACCCTGCCGTCATCGATTGGTTGACTCGGTCGTCTTCCTCTTCCCAGGTCACCTCTGACACCTACAGCCAACGGTCGGTGGGTACGTCAGACACAACCGTTAGTTGGCATGGCCCGGGAGCAAGCCCACTGAAATCACGTGTCCTCGACCTGCCCCTGTCCTTTGGTGTTCCCTCACCAAGCGAAGTATCGCATGCTGTGGGCTCAGCCCCACTGTACAGTGAGGAAGAGCTAACAGAGGGCGGTCAGGAACGGGGGGAGACATCCGCCTCTTCAGCAGCCAGGCGAAGAAGTACTGGCGAGGAGAGTGGCTCGGTAGCCGGTCTAGAGACAGGTCTGTCTCCTGACCCACACGCAGCCGAGGGGGCTAGTAGTGACGCGGAGACCCTAAATTGATGATGATGAGGCTGATCGCACTTGGCAGCCTCGTCGTCATCAGGCTATTGCTTCCGCATCATCAGGAGAAGAGGGTGCCAGCTTGCCAGCGAGCAAAACAGTCGGTGGGTTGCCCAGGAGGCAGCAGGGTCGCAGCAGTGTCAGTGGAGCCAAACGGCCACGGAGTAGAGCACCAGCTCCACTGCAGCCTACCACCACGCCAGTAGTGGTGCCGGTGTGCACGGAGGAAGTAGCAGTCAGCCAGTGAGGAGTAGCGGGGGCAAAGTTTCCTACTCGGCGGTGTGGCAATTTTTCGTCAAGCCGCCCGAGGAAGTAAACTAGCCGTATGTCGACTATGTGGCCAGAAAGTCAAGCGTGGCCAGGGGGCCAATGTTGGGACTACAGCGTTGCGTCAGCATATGCAGCGTCGCCATTCGGTGGCCTGGGAAAACCGTGATAAAGATACGGCGGTTCTGCCTGCCCCAGCCCCCGCTCCATCACCCGCTCCGTTACTTGCTCCGTCACCCGACGTCAATCGCCCTCTATCAGCCAGTCAAGGCTCCAACACCTCTGCTGAGGGGAGTTGTCGCTCGTTGGCATCTTCCGCTCGTTCAGATGCTCCTTCTCCTGCTACTCCTCTTCTTCACGGATTCCGTCAGCAGTCTTTCTTGGAATCCGTTTCCAAGAGACAACAGTTTGCGAGCACGCACCCGACGGTGCAGAAGCTGAACGTCCTCCTGTCCAAGTTGCTGGTGCTGCAGTCCCTCCCTTTCCAAGTGGTGGACTCAGCACCTTTCCGAGAAATGATGGCTGTGCCGAGCCGCGGTGGAGAGTGCCAAGCCGGCATTTCTTCGCCAAAAAGGCAGTGCCAGCCCTGCATTCACATGTAGAAGAGATGGTGGGGCCAGTCTTTGAGCATGTCGGTCTCTGCCAAAGTGCACGGCAGCGCCGACGTGTGGAGCTGTAACTACGGTCAGGGACAGTACATGTCATTTACGGCCCACTGGGTGAACGTGGTGCCGGCACAGCCGCACCAGCAACTTGGACAGGTCACGCCGCTTTTGCCTCCACGTTTGCACGTCCTTGGTCCAGCAAAGATGTCCGCCTCTACCACCTCTTCTTCCGCCGTGTCCTCAGCCGCCACCCCCCCCGTGCCAAGTCCCATTACCCGACCGGCATATCACATGTGCAGGGCGCAACGGTGTCACGCTGTGCTGCACCTGGTATGCCTTGGCGAACGTAGTCACACAGGGGAGGAACTTCTGAGTGTAATGAACAGAGAAATCGACAGATGGCTGTCTCCGCAAACTGAAAATCGGAACCATGTTGACCGACAACGGAAAGAACATGGTGTCTGCTCTGCGTCAAGGAAGGTTGTGCCCCATGCGCCATTCGCAGGTTGTTCAATCTTATGGATGGAAGTACGACGGTATATGATCTTCTTCGCACCCACGGCATTACCTCATAAAATTTCTGCAAACTTGCATCTGCACAATCACAACGCTGACTTCCCGGATCGCCACTTAGCCATTGGACTCTTGATAACCCACATATGTCGTCTCCCCCGAAAGGCCAGATCACGCTGCTGCTGGGGGGACTTTTTAACATAGGCCTCCTCCGTATGGCCTTTAATTGAAGCTGCTTACGCTCCGCCACTCTGCCATGGGCCTCTTGGGTATCCCAGAAGCTGCTCAGCGGGTCAGGGCAATAAAGCTCCCGGTTCGCAGGTTGTTCCGTCTTATGGATGGAAGTACGACGGTAATATATGATCTTCTTCGCACCCACGGCATCACCTCATAGAATCTCTGCATTGCATCTGCAATCACAACGCTGACTTCCCGGATCGCCACTCAGCCATTGGACTCTTGATAGTCGTCTCCCCACACTGCTGCTGGGGGGACTTTTTAACCTAGGCCTGTGTAATGGCCTTCAATTGAAGCTGCTTCCGCTCCGCCACTCTGCCATTGGACTCTTGATAGTCGTCTCCCCCACGCTGCTGTTGGGGGGACTTTTTAACATGGCCTCTGTTATGGCCTTTAATTGAAGCTGCTTACGCTCCGCCACTCTGCCATGGGCCTCTTGGGTATCCCAGAAGCTGCTCAGCGGGTCAGGGCAATAAAGCTCCCGGTTCGCAGGTTGTTCCGTCTTATGGATGGAAGTACGACGGTATATGATCTTCTTCGCACCCACTGGCAAAATCACCCTCATAGAATCTCTGCATTGCATCTGCAATCACAACGCTGAACTTCCCGATCCCGCCCACTCAGCCATTGGACTCTTGATAGTCGTCTCCCCACACTGCTCTCTGGGGGGACTTTTTAACCTAGGCCTGTGTATGGCCTTCAATTGAAGCTGCTTCTGCTCCGCCACTCTGCCATTGGACTCTTGATAGTCGTCTCCCCACACTGCTGCTGGGGGACTTTTTAACATAGGCCTCTGTATGGCCTTCAATTTAAGCTGCTTACGCTTCGCCACTCTTCCATGGGCCCCTGTACCGCCTCCTCTTGCTGCTAGCTGCCAGGTCCAGAGTGTGTCATGGGTCCCTGTACGGCCTCCCATTGCTGCTGACTGCATCGCCAGACTCTGCCATGTGCCACTTTCAGGTCTCCTTACACTGTTGGTGGGTTCCATTTTGTGATAGGGTGCTGTATGGCCTTCCATTGCTGCTGCCTCCACCCCACCACCATCCTGCGCCATGTGCCTCTGTCGTCTGCTCACGCTGCTGACGGCTTCCGCTTTTTAACCGAGGCCTGTGTTTGGCTTCCGAATACTGCTGCATCCACCGCCACCCTACGCCATGTGTCTCTGTCGTCTGCTCACGCTGCTGACGGCTTCCGCTTTTTAACCTAGGCCTGTGTATGGCTTCAGAATAATGCTGCCTACACCGCCACCCTGCGCCATGTGCCTCTGTCGTCTGCTCACGCTGCTGCCCAGGTCCATACTGATTCATGGCCCCCTGTACCACCGGCTCCTCATGAACGTGGTTCAGCGGGATTGCATCACTTAACGGCAAATCGTTGACAAACGCTGGGACGTTCAGTGTTGTGCGCATTAAGCCAGACACCAAAGGGCAGCACAGACCTGTTATTACTCGCTCAAGCATGGCTGAACAAAACCAGTCTCTACCACAAATTGGACCCAGACCTGCCCAGGGTCTCGTAACTAGATTGCACGGAGGAGTAGAGTTCGTTATTGGAATTAACTGTGAGGGACTTTTAAACCTAGGCCTGTGTATGGCCTTCAATTGAAGCTGCTTCTGCTCCGCCACTCTGCCATTGGACTCTTGATAGTCCGTCTCCCCACGCTGCTGCTGGGGGACTTTTTAACCTAGGCCTGTGTATGGCCTTCAATTTTAGCTGCTTACGCTCCGCCACTCTGCCATGGGCCCCTGTACCGCCTCCTCATCATGCTGCTGCCAGGCCCGTAATCTGCCATGGGCCCCCGTACCGACTCCTCATGCTGCTGCCAGGCCCGTAATCTGTCATGGGCCCCTGTACCGCCTCCTCATGCTGCTGCCAGGTCCAGAGTGTGTCATGGGTCCCTGTACGGCCTCCCATTGCTGCTGTCTCCATCGCCACACTCTGCCATGTGCCACTTTCAGGTCTCCTCACACTGCTGGTGGGTTCCATTTTGTCATAGGGTGCTGTATGGCCTCCCATTGCTGCTGCCTCCACCGCCACACTGTGGCTCCACACTCTGGTTTTGGCCCCGTGACTGCCCAAATGAGTGAAGTGTGCGGTGATTCTAAGATTGACGGCACTCATCTGCATGTCATACTGACTGACAGTATTATTTCTCTTCCCCAGCAGACTCCAAGGGCATTTAAATTAAAGGTACAGTGTTCTGCACTAATATAAAGGCTCTCTGAAGCCTAGAAACACCCTTTTTATAAGTTAAATTCGCAGCGAATATATTCGGCTCGAAGCGAATTTATTCGGCGAATTCGGCGAATCAGCCGAACCGAATTTTTGAACAATTCGCTCATCTCTAGTGAATAGCTCTACACCGAGTTCACTATATGAACCACTGATGTATTTATACATGTTGATCATATCCCCCCTTAATCTCCTCTTCTCAAGAGAGAATAAATTCAGTTCCTCTAATCTTTCCTCATAGCTGAGCTCATCCATGCCTCTTATCAGTTTGGTTGCCCTTCTCTGTACTTTCTCCAGTTCCCCAATGTTCTTTTTGTGAATTGGTGCCCAAAACTGAACTGCATATTCCAGATGAGGTGTTACTATTGATTTGTACCGGGGTAATATGATATCTCTCTCTCTGGAGTCTATACCTCTTTTATTACAAGAGAGGATTTTGCTCGCTTTAGAAACCGCAGTTTGGCATTGCATGCCATTATTAAGCTTGTGATCTACCAGAACCCCCAGATCCTTCTCTACCATTGTTTCCCCTAGTTGTACCCCCCCCCCCCCCCCCCCAGTATGTATGATGCATGCATATTCTTAGCGCCCAAGTGCAGAACCTTACATGTATCATTTATAATTTGTTAAGAATATATAAATACTTAAATGTTCATAGGTTGGCTGCAGGTTCACTTTAGAACAACAAAGAATATTTAAAGAAAAAATATATTTTCGAACATATCCTTCTATGCACAATGTCAGCTTGGATTCTGTCCACAGAATGCTTTTCCAAACAATATTTTAATCTGTTTTATATATTCTTTATATATAAGTACAGTTTATGATTGGTTCATTGAGGGATCAGACATGGGTGATGTATGAAGAAGGGACTAACTAGGACCCTTAATTCTGTTTAACTTTGATCCCGGCATCCAATGTGTTGCCATAAGCAAACTTGACTTCCATGGTAACAAAATAAGAGATAGAGAGTAGAGACACTGATGGATGTATGATCATTTTCAACGAATCCCTCAAATTTTGACATCTTTCATTGTCATGATAAAACTGCTCACAAAGATGAACGTTTTCCTAAAAGAGTAATAAAGCTGGAAGGCAGATCATCTAGACTCCAGCTGTCAATGTTCAAGTACAGCTAGGACAAAGCATACATCAAAGTGGGTGACACTGTGTCCTTGCACTGGGGGCCCTAATTCAGTCCCAATCTGGCTCTCATCTACGTATCTGCAGGTTTTGTGTTTGTCTCACCCAAATGCTCTGTTTACCTGCGACTGCCCTTAAAGATTGTTTAGTATTAAAATAAAAAACAGCAAAAGGGAAGTTACCCCTGTCAGTGTGATGTGTCCCTTGTGCTTCTGTATCCTGTTTAGTAGAAATGTTCCTGACTATGGCTGCCTCCTCCATTCATAGAAGATGCGTTATTGCTTCTGTGAATTAAAAATTATCTATGAATGGAAGCAGCCAACCTTTCAATCCCCTCTCAATGATCTACCCGTCTTCATTCATAGAATCGATAGTGTGGTTTCTATGAATGGCACAAGGGGGCGGAAATGGTGGACACGGTTAGGCATTCTTGATGAATAGTGGGGGAGCAGAGGAAGATTTCTACCAAACTAGAAGACAGCAGCACATGGGACACACTTATAGTAACGACCCTTGTGCGGTTTTATTTCTTTTTTACTAAGCCTATGATCTAAAGGTTGTACTGTATTATGGAAGAATGTTCATGGAAAGCCTCACCTCCTCAACTATTTAGTAGAGGTGAAATATCAGTTTGGATGGAGAGATCCTTTGCTGCATTCCAAGCCACAACTAAAGAATGGCTTCTTTGATATACAGAAGAGCTGTTTAAACAGAGGCCATTTAGTTATACTTTCTAGCTACATCTGTATATACAGATCACAAAAATATAATTCAATACAACCAGCACCAGTTGTTCCTGAATATAGAAACATAGAAAAGTGACAGCAGAAAAAGACCGAGTGGTCCATCGAGTCTGCTCATTTTTTTTTTTTTTAAAGAAATAAAAAAAAAAAAGCCTGTACACATACCTGTATTTAGAATCTTACAAAATCCCTTAATGACAAAAAGTTTTATTTGTGAGCATTTATAAGTATTCCACCCCTTGGTATAGACACCAACTTCTCCATTTTAAAGTGCATTTCTAGCTTTGCAATCAGTATGAGATAGCACCTACTTTATATTGGTTACGTGTTCCCATCCACATAATGCACCTCTTACAAAAAAAAAAAAAAAAAAAAAAAAAAAAAAAAAAAACTGCTGCTCACCTTATTTGATGAAAAATCATAAATGTTTAGTTTTCCTTCACCTATGTAATGTTAAGGGGAGGTATGTTTACTATAATTTCCCAGAGTCTTGGAACCTGCATTGCTGGTCCGAGTGGCTAGTCCACTATGCTAGACTCGTATATATACCCTTTAATAATGCTCATTTAAGGACAGAAGGTAGTATTAAGTTACATTCAGAGTATGTGTGGCCCCAGGCCATTTAAAGTGATAATGTTATCCATTTTATTGATGTGAATGGACGATCCTTTGACCTAATAAGTCTATTACCAATTTTTGTGAAATATAATAAAGCTATTTGTTTTATTTACACCGCTGTCGGTTTTCTTTCAAACTACTGTTCTTTGGGGGAAATTCTATGCCCTCTGTTAGTTGTTTACTAGAATTAACCCTGTCCATACTGTGGTGGTAGATCTCACTGTCAATTGTAAACCTGATACGAAACCTCTGTCCTAACAAAGGGTTAAAGCTGTCAAAGCTTTGGTGTACATTGTAAATTGTTTTTTGTTTAAAGTGTCCTTAGAGTTATTCTGAAGAATTTAAGCTCTTAAATCCTGTGTATAATCTTGCTCCAAAGAAACTACAAAGATAAGTATTATTAATTTTTAGGAACACAAGACAGTGGTGTTTCTCAAATTTGACTGCAAAAGGGGATACTTTAGGGGCAAGCTCAAGGTCAGCTCCATCCTATAAAAATTATTACACAGGATTTATATAGTGCCAACACTTTATGCAGTGATTTACAATATAAAAAAGGTGGACAGTACAATTCCAGTAGGATTCAATACAGAAGGAATAGGAGGCCCAACTCATGGAGCTTACAATCTAAAAGGGGGGGGGGCAGAAGTATAAAAAGGTAATAGCTGCAGGGGATGATCTGGTGGAGGTGACTCATGTACAGTTCTTAGGTGGAGGTGGGGTAGGCTTCCCTGAAAAAAATGTTTAAAAAGGATCGCCTAAAGGTAGACAGGGTAGGAGCTGACCAGACATGCTGGGGCAGGGAGTTCGAGGATGGTTGGAAGATTTGTGGTCTTCCACAATATATCCTAATTTTGTGTGGTGTCATATTCAGTGGGCAGTACCATCTGCCAAATGTAAACTAAACTGAATAGAGACACCCCCCACAACTGCATGCAATGCCATATGGTTGCAATGTAGAGCATAAAGGGTTAAAAAGGCAGTGAGAAAGCAGTATAACACCTTCAACACCTGCCAAGTGCCCTCTGAAGATTATTCTAATTGTGGCTCACTCTTTGAAGGGCACCACATGTATAAAACTAAGCCCAACTCTTTGAATTACTAGTCTAGATCAGATCAGGTATACATCAAAGTGAAGTTGGGACGCCTTATCCCATACTTGTTCCAGATCAGTGACTCAACCCAGAGCTAGCATTTTTCAAAATGAAGCCAGAAATGTACCCAAGTTAAAATAGGGAAACCTAAATCAGAGTAATCCCAGCCTTAAGTCTGATTTTGCAGCAGGCTACTGAAAAAACTTACAGGTTATATTGCATTCCAACAGCACTGAATACAGGATGTAAACTCTTCAACTCCCAAGATAAGAAAGATACTTCTGACTTTTGCAGTCATCCAGTGTATGGATGTATGTAGTTCATTTCCCATGGCAAGAATTGTTTTCAAATTTAAAAAACACATAACCTTTTCATCCCTATACAACCAGTTTATACCAACTCTTGTGCAGCCAGAAGCAGCAAATATCGAACATTCCTGAACATGTCTTGCCACTGTAGTCCTAAAACGGTTGGAATGTGGTCTATTTCTCTTAATATTAACTTTCTTCTATGTCAGCTATTTGGACCTTCACTTCTCCCATCCCAGGCAGCTTCTGCCTGCCTCCCCCCCGCATCCCAGGCAGCTTCTGCCTGCCTCCCCCCCGCATCCCAGGCAGCTTCTGCCTGCCTCCCCCCCGCATCCCAGGCAGCTTCTGCCTGCCTCCCCCCCCCCCCCGCATCCCAGACAGCTTCTGCCTGCCCCCCCCCCCCCGCATCCCAGACAGCTTTCTGCCTGCCTCCCCCCCCCCGCATCCCAGACAGCTTCTGCCTCCCCCCCCCCCCCCCCCCCCCCGCATCCCAGACAGCTTCTGCCTCCCCCCCCCCCCCCATCCCAGACAGCTTCTGCCTCCCCCCCATCCCAGACAGCTTCTGCCTCCCTCCCCCCTCTTCCTGTACCACACTGCCCAAGAGCAGCTTTGTGACAAAAGCAAACAGAACAAGGGTTGTTTCATATTTCTTTATTGCCAACAACGTATACAATGTATACTTAAAATAGTTAAGTCCAAAAAAAAAAAAGTCAAATACTTCACTTTTGGGCTGTAATAAATTATGTTAGTAACTAGGAATGCACTTGTCCAGCCACAAAATGTGGGTATTAAAATATATATGGCCATAGTTCACAGTTTGGCAGCAGTAAGCTGCATTGATCACAGCGATTCCACAACTTAACATTCCACTTGTCCATTCAAGCCAACATATCAGTCCCGGAATCATAAGTGTTCACAGTTCAATTCCGTGTCCACCAAGTGCTCTCTACGGAGCAAAACTTTCTCACCCCACTTTGTCGGATGCTTTCTCCTCGAGCCATTGTAGTTCCTTTCCACAGAGTATCCAATCAGACAAAACAATGGATCCAACAAAGCAGGATGAATTTATGTACAGTCTGGTTCCAGCCCAGCGTGCTACGTAGGAAGTTTGTTTTTCGTACCACCTCCTCTTTCCAAACGTGCTAGGGTTCCAGCGCTTGTCAGTTCTCACAGTGAAGGACTTTATCCTCAACATTTCCAACAGCCCTCTGACACCTTTAATTACACCTCTGCAACAACATGTTCAATGCATATTCCATTCTGTTTCTCAAGTCATTCGAGCCACCTGACATTAATAATGTGCTCAGACGGAAAGTCGTAGACATCCGGTCTTCATTGATATAAGTCAACAGGTATTCATCGTTTTGGTTGGCGATTATGATCTTCGTGTGATCATGGTAGAAATTTACCTGTTTATAAAAAATTGGACATATTGTAACCAAACCTTTCAACATTGTGTTAGCGATAAGACTTAAGAGACATGGCAAATAGTGAGAAAAAATACATACCTGAAAAGTGCCATCATTGAAGAGCATCATTAGGGCCTTGTCAGACTTCAGCCACTGCAGCAGGTACAATCTCGGTCTACATATGTCTGTTACACTGGGCAAGTCACCTCCCTTTAGAAGGAATATAAAAGAACCGATTAGTTGCACTGTATCTACTGTACAATTAAACATATGCTCCTTTATTATTAGATACCTTATCCTCACAAAATACAAAAAAAAAAAAATATGAATAAGATGTCATTGTGAACCTTCTGAAAAAGCTACACAAGTGGCCATCTCCAACTTCAATAGTGCAAGGCAGACTCAAAAATCATGCAGTGTGGTAAGACCACCGTATCGGAGTACCATCTATGCCAGTGATCTCCAAACTGTGGCCCAATGGACAGATGATGCCCTTTGCTTGCATTTGTCTGGCCCTTGGGGCACTTTTTATCCATCGATACCACCAATGGGGCATAATTCCCTCCACTGACACCAATGGAGGAGCACAAGTCCTCCCAATGACATCAATTATGGGGCACAATTCCACAGAATGACACCAACAATCAGGCCCAATGACACAAATGGAGCACAATTCCTCCCAATGACACCAAAGATGGGGTGCCATTGCTCCCACTAAAACCAAAGGGGCATGGTTTATTCCCACTGACATCAGGACCTTTCTTCTCCCAATGGCCACAGTCCTGCCAACCTAAAGTCTGAAGGATAGCAAACTGGCACTTTGCTCATCCCCCCCCTAAATACCTACGGTACCCGAGCCGAATCTCAACACAGTGATGTACACAAGAGCAGCTTTCCTCACTGGACAGAGGTCACGGGGGGATGGACCACTGGCTTGTGCCTAACAGCGGGGGTGGGGCCAAGCCACACTGTCATTGGACACAGAGCTGGCTTGGGAGTATGCTTAAGTCCTCCCATAACAAGTGGCTTGCTATGGGGGTACTCTGCAGGGGGAAGGACCCATGAGTACCTGTAGGAGACCCACAAATAGGATGATTGGGGCTGCCCTGTGTAAAACCATTGCACAGAGCACCAAGTATGAATGTTTTTTTTATTTGCATTTAGAATCAGTTTAAACACTGAAACCACAGAACCAGCATAGGAGCCAGGCAATTTGTATTTTCATAAGGAGAAACTATGTATTTGGCAGCACAAAATTTTCTTGAACTTGCTATACATTTCAAACTGAGATCTAACTTGCCCTTAGGTGTATTATCAAATAAGATTCCAAGTATCATGCAGGCCAGATTTGGCAATGAGCAAGTTGTTGGGCAGCCTGATGTTTGCATGTATGTCCACCATAAGAATAGCATTACAGATATCAAATCACTACTTTTAAAACAATCACAAGACACTTACATCCATAAGATTCTCTTCCATGTAATGAGAGAAGTATTTTAACACAGTGACTTGGCTGATGAACTGCTCTGGGGCTTCTGCAGCTGCGAAGATGGAACACTGCCCAAGCTCAGCATAGTAGTGCACAGTCCTGAAAAGTAAATACCACAACTGTAAGTCACTGACAGACACAATGACAAGGTACAGAAACATTACTAGAGCAGGCAATGTTTAATTCTTACTTTTTGTCAGGCAGTAGGCTCATGTGTGCTCCATTATTGAACAACACTCCAACCGTGTGGTCTGATAGCTGGTAACCAAAGCCGTACTTATTGGAGTAGTCCACCCACTTTGTCACCCAGTGGAATGAGGTGCTTATGTGTTCTTTTGGGATACAGTCTGAATCTGGCATGTTTTCTAAGCAGCCCCTGAGGACTCTTGCAACAGTGTCTGCCACACTGCCCATTGTGCTGTCTTCCAGGCCTGAAAAAGGTAAGGAACAGACAAATTACTACCAAGTACATGCAAGTCTATCAAGCCTAAACCTTTTGGCGTGCGTTCAGAAATCTAGACTAGCAGTGCTCACATTCTGAGGCATTTGCAATTATCGCTGTTTTCTGGTTTACTCCGGGCACTCAGCACAACGCTGTAATTGTACTGTCAATGTTCTGACTAGTGACAGTGCCAAAGCAGCTGGGAGCTTAATTGTGCACACTGATCTTTCCCCCCACAGTAATCACTGAGGCCTAGGATTGCCAATCCACCGATATTTCTATACTTACACTCACTGCTGCTGCTGCAGCTACCCAGGGTCCCTCGAACAATGAGTCGTATCGTGTCCCCCATCTGCTGCTTGTCAGGCTTGTCATGGATGTTGGACTTGGATACTGTTTTACTCTCCTACAAGAACAAAGAACGCAAGAGCAACACTCATTAGAAAGCCAAAAAAATGCCTCTAAAAATAAAAAAAAAAAAAAAAATCTATTTCTGTACACTATAGGCTGTCAGCCAAACGCAAATTCAACCAACCTCATCCGTTCTGGGATTCTGAGCCTGATGAGATATGGCTGTTTTCTTTAAGTCCTGCCTTAGCTTGTAGATCTCTTCATCTTCCTTTGCAGGTTTATCTGCAGGGAAATCAGGCATGATCAGTAAAACAAGGACAGGAAGGAGAAAAGCAAACATCCAAAAGATGCCACTCTTGAAGTCTACTTACTGTGGTTATCTAGGTATTTGGCCTTTTCTTTCTTCCCACCAAACAAGGCTGCAGCAGCCTTCTTGAAGAAGCTTTTTGCTGGACTTGATAAGTGGAAGTCTGGTGCAGTGTGACAGCAGCTTGATGGAAGTCTGTCTGGTGTGAAGCCCTAATGTACAGAAAAGGAATTGGAATTGTAAGTCTGAACTGAAGATCAGACAGAAGTGACAAAGACAACTCCAGAGATAGAACGTGTCTAACCTGTGTGATGAAGTCATGTTGAATAATTTCCTCTAGGCTGGGTCTGTCTTCTGGGTTTCTGGATAGCATGCTGGCGATAAGATGCTTGGCAGAAGACATTAGAGAGGATGGCAAAGAGTATTTAGCCTCCCTGATACACCTATAGGTTTCTTTAAGATTTGTGGTTTCAAATGGAGGTCTTCCAAGCAGCATTGTATACCTAGAAAAGAAAATGGATTTGTAAATAATGTATCTGCACAGTAATAAAGACAAAAAAAATGCCAACAGCACTGTCATAATAGCCATTACCAATTAACCATTCTAAACCATCTATTCCCAACCATGGTTCCAGGGAGCCCTAGGATTCCTCCAGAGGTTGCTGAGGGTTCCTTGAACTGTGGCCGATGACCTCCAATCTAATAGTGCTTGCATAGTTCCAGGGCCAATGCCAATTAACTTGAAACCATGGATTTTATTTCTAAGGGTGGCATTCTGACCACCAATGTAACAGATATTCTTAAAGAGCCCCAATAAAATGCATTTAAGCAGGGATTCTTTGATACTTATATCAAAAAGTCTCCCTGGGGTAAAATAGTTGAGAAATGCTGTTCTAAACTTAAGGCATACAAACCCATTATGTTAAAATATAGGTTAAAAAAAAAAATGAAATTAAACAGGTCAAAGCAATAAAGTTAAGCTGCATACTTCTGCACTGATGTCTTCTCTGTACTATCAAACATTTAACAAGCTCAAACATTCGAGCAATTGACAGCCTATAGCTATGATTGGCAATTCATCACTAGGAAAACCAAAAGGCATACTTACATGACACATCCTAAAGCCCAGATGTCAGATTCACAGCCATGTCCTTGTTTGTTAAGCACTTCAGGCGAGAGGTAATTTGGTGTACCACAAATTGTTCTAAGTGGAGAAAAAAAAAATAGGAAGAAAATTAGATTACATTTAACAATTGACTTTAAATAGAAAAGACCAATGTAGAGTAAACCATAGCAAGAAACAACATCTGCTTTCACCAAGATCAGCATAATCAAGACTAATTAAAGCTTGCCACTGACTACAAGGCATTCATTTCCCTTCACTGCTGTCACTAAATTCTGAAGGGGTTTCACACCAAAACAGTATGTGGATGTGTGTATCTAACTACAAGGCGTAGGTGGAATTCATTACAACAGTGAGCTCCTCTGAGACCTACCTTCTTCTTTGTTCCATTGGCTCCAATCTTGCTGCGAGGCCAAAGTCGCCCACTTTCAACTCCATATTTTCATTTATGAAAAAATTTCCTACAATGGAACAGTAAACACACAAGCCATGTTATTCATGTAAATTAGATCATCAAGCGGCTATATCATCTAAAGCACCAATGCTACATTCATCTCCTGCATGAATCAACAGTAAACATCAGCTAAGGCAGAGCTACCCAAGAAAAAAATAAAAAATGAAACCTACCTAATTTTAGGTCCCTGTGCAGGATTTCTTGCTCATGTAGATATTTCAAGCCAGACACAATTTGTTTGAGGTAGTATCTCACTTCTGGATCTGTCAGTACTTTCCTGGTCTTTAATATGTGTGCCATAGACTGTGGAGACAATAGGAGCTGTCAGCTTGTGTCAGGGAGCGATCGGGCATAGAACACAGACCCACATTGAAAGGATTAGGAGGAGAGGGACAAGAGGGTCGGTAGAGCGTTGCAGGAATGAATGCTCACCCTTCGACTGCAGTACTCCAGTAATATGTAGATGTTCTCCTTATCCTCAAAATAGTGATAAAACTGCACAACGTGCCTGTGGTTTAGGGTCCTGTGCAACTCGATTTCTTTGTCAATCTGCATAAAAAAAAAAATCCACAGGTTTTAGCATCGTAATCCAAGAACGAGATGTAATGTTATAAACACACAAGGTAATAATATTAATCTATGGATATTGCATTAATACTGAATAATAAATATACTAACATTAATAATCTATTGATATAACATAATATAATAATAATAATACTAAATAATAAATAATTGATGTAACATTTAATAGAAACATAATAAATACAAAACAAAAATAAAAGGAAAAGGGGAAAGGTACTACCTTCTCTCTCTGATGAGGTTTGGACACCCTGCTGTGCGGGATAATTTTTGCAGCATAGATTTTGTTCGTGGTCAAGTCTGTCATTTCATAGCACTTTGCAAAACCACCCTACAAGAGAACAGGAAAGGAGAATTTTAGCTGCTGTGCAACACTGGACCTGCCATGCATGGTAGTAAAGGCATGCAAGTGTTAAAATATTAATCTGCATGGATTAAACCCAACATAGGAACCATCATTAACCAGAAGTCAAGGGCACTGACGGCATGAGCTCTCATTAATGATCAATGCAGGGAATTCAGCGCTGTGTTTGTAAATAAAAGGCTCTGTATACACATGATGTGCATCAAAACTGCAACACAACCAGATACAAACATTGCTCTGGTCACAGACATTGACATCCACAAAGATACACATTTACAAGAGATAGTGTTCTATATACAGAGACATGGACACACACACAAAGCAAAGAAAGGAGAGAGGAAAGGGGAAAGCAAAGAAAGGAGAGAGGAAAGGGGAAAGCAAAGAAAGGAGAGAGGAAAGGGGAAAGCAAAGAAAGGAGAGAGGAAAGGGGAAAGCAAAAGAAAAAGGAGAGAGGAAAGGGGAAAGCAAAGAAAGGAAGAGAAAGGGAAAGCAAAGAAAGGAGAGAGGAAAGGGGAAAGCAAAGAAAGGAGAGAGGAAAGGGAAAGCAAAGAAAGGAGAGAGGAAAGGGGAAAGCAAAGAAAGGAGAGAGGAAAGGGGAAAGCAAAGAAAGGAGAGAGGAAAGGGGAAAGCAAAGAAAGGAGAGAGGAAAGGGGAAAGCAAAGAAAGGAGAGAGGAAAGGGGAAAGCAAAGAAAGGAGAGAGGAAAGGGGAAAGCAAAGAAAGGAGAGAGGAAAGGGGAAAGCAAAGAAAGGAGAGAGGAAAGGGGAAAGCAAAGAAAGGAGAGAGGAAAGGGGAAAGCAAAGAAAGGAGAGAGGAAAGGGGAAAGCAAAGAAAGGAGAGAGGAAAGGGGAAAGCAAAGAAAGGAGAGAGGAAAGGGGAAAGCAAAGAAAGGAGAGAGGAAAGGGGAAAGCAAAGAAAGGAGAGAGGAAAGGGGAAAGCAAAGAAAAGGAGAGAGGAAAGGGGAAAGCAAAGAAAGGAGAGATTATCTATCTACACACACCTAAATGAATAATAAAAAACACACACACACACACACACACACACACACACACACACACACACCCCATAGAACATGAAAAATATATTATATATAAATATATCCATAGATTATAGACACACACATAACCAATCCATAGATTATATTATAGAGACAGACACACACCTAAACCGACCTAGAGATTATAGGCACACACACAATCGACCTAGAGATTATAGGCACACACACACAATCGATCTATAGATTATAGGCACACACACAATCGATCTATAGATTATAGGCACACACACAATCGATCTATAGATTATAGGCACACACTCTCCCGATGTTTGTATGAGGTTCTCCTGCAGACTTGTTGCTTTGTCACATACAGTAGACAGTAACATTGGGTTATTGATGGTAGGACTGCTGGTGAATGGATCCATGATCCGATATCAGTTGAGAATGATGAGCCAGTAGATCCAGTGTGGGGGGCGGTAATATTGCGGCGATCAAACAGACAATACAATCCAGAGCTGCCCTCTACGTGTGATTACCTTGCCCAGCACTTTCCCCCGGCAGTATCGTCTCCCGGTGCCGGGGTCGGTGATGATCCTGGACAGCTCTCCGGAGGGGTTGGGACAGGTATGGTGGAGGGCTTGTGTGTCTCCTTCTCCTCCCGGGACCTTCCACCTCCGCCCGGGGTCACACACCCTGCCCACGGCCGGATCGCACATCTTGTTCCCGCTGTTCGGCTGGTAGGTGATTGTTCTCAGTATTTCCATCACTTCTGTCCGCTCCTCCTGTCACCTCCAACAACCACCAACGATCAGCGCTCACTGCTGCCAGAATTCGCCGAGCCTCCCTTATATCATCTGCCCCGGCCCGCCCCCTCTGATGTCACGCCGGTGTGGCCCGCCCTCGTGGTCATTGCCTGGGCTTATCCCTGCAGAGCTGTCATCGGAGAATGGAGGAGGATGACGGGACAGGCATGAATGGAGCGACACCATGAATGAGCGCTCTGCATACTACTCCACGAGGAGACCATTTCTATGTACTGGCTGCATCCATCTGGTGTTCTGTATACTGCGAGGGGGGTGAATAGTGCGGGCACTGATCTGTTATACACAGTGTACATCTATACAGACACACACACACATATATATATATATATATATATATATGTATGTATACAGCGACAGATCAGCACACTCACCGCGCAATACGCCGTATAAGAGCGACGGATCGGCGCACTCACTGTGCAATACGCCCAATACAGCGACAGATCGTCACACTCACCGCGCAAAGTGCCGTATAGAGCGACAGATTGGCGCACTCACTGTACAATACGCCCAATACAGTGAGAGATCGGCACACTCACTGCGCAATACGCCGTATAGAGCGACAGATCGGCGCACTCACCGCGCAAAATGCCGTATAGAGCGACAGATCGTCACACTCACCGCGCAAAATGCCGTATAGAGCGACAGATCGGCACACTCACTGTGCAATACTCCCAATACAGTGACAGATCGGCACACTCACCGCGCAATACGCCAAATAGAGCGACAGGTCGGCGCACTCACCCCGCAATACGCCGCATAGAGCGACAGATCCGAGCACTCACCGCGCAATACGCCGCATAGAGCGACAGATCGGCGCACTCACCGCGCAATACGCCGCAAAGAGCGACAGATCCGAGCACTCACCGCGCAATACGCCGCATAGAGCGACAGATCCGAGCACTCACCGCGCAATACGCCGCATAGAGCGACAGATCGGCGCACTCACCGCGCAATACGACGCATAGAGCGACAGATCTGAGCACTCACCACGCAATACGCCGCATAGAGCGACAGATCCGAGCACTCACCGCGCAATACGCCGCATAGAGCGACAGATCGGCACACTCACCGCCCAATACGCCGCATAGAGCGACAGGCGCACTCACCGCGCAATACGCCGCATAGAGCAACAGGCGCACTCACCGCGCAATACGCCGCATAGAGCGACAGATCGGTGCACTCACCGCGCAATACGCCGCATAGAGCAACAGGCGCACTCACCACGCAATACGCCGTATAGAGCGACAGGTCGGTGCACTCACCGCGCAATACGCCGTATAGAGCGACAGGTCGGCGCACTCACCGCGCAATACGCCGTATAGAGCGACAGATCGGCGCACCCACCGCGCAATACGCCGTATAGAGCGACAGATCGACGCTCCCACCGCGCAATACGCCGTATAGAGCGACAGATCGACGCTCCCACCGCGCAATACGCCGTATAGAGCGACAGATCGGCGCTCCCACCGCGCAATACGCCGTATAGAGCGACAGATCGGCGCTCCCACCGCGCAATACGCCGTATAGAGCGACAGATCGGCGCTCCCACCGTGCAATACGCCCGTATAGAGCGACAGATCAGTGCACCGCCCACGCAATATACTGTATATAACAGACCAGAGCACCGCCCATGCAATGTACTGTATATAACAGACCAGAGCACCGCCCACGCAATATACTGTATATAACAGACCAGTGCACCGCCCACGCAATATACTGTATATAACAGACCAGTGCACCGCCCACGCAATATACTGTATATAACAGATCAGTGCACCGCCCACGCAATATACTGTATATAACAGATCAGTGCACCGCCCACGCAATATACTGTATATAACAGATCAGTGCACCGCCCACGCAATATACTGTATATAACAGATCAGTGCACCGCCCACGCAATATACTGTATATAACAGACCAGTGCACCGCCCACGCAATATACTGTATATAACAGATCAGTACACTCAACCGGCATATACATATAACAACAAATCAGGGCACCCACCATGCAATCCTCCTGCAAAATATGTAAGGACAGATCGGTATTGGTGTGTGTATGTGATTTCTATATTGCCAACAGTTTGTGCAGTGCTGTACACAATACAAAAGGGAGAGAGTACAGTTGCAATACAAGAGGGTTCAGATGGCTCTGGTTGTGAGAGCTTACACTCTAAAAATGCCAAACAAACTCCTCTACCAAGTGTTCCATGTTTTGTAGGGGTACAGTCTGTGTTCAAAGTGGCCTCAACAAAGGTGGACTTTGCCCCCCAAAACACTGGACACACAGTAAAGAATATTGTTTCACATTTTGCGGCTCCTCTTTAAAGCTGCCCATACACTGAGCACATTTTGGCCAGATACTGATAAACCAGACAGAATTCTCTTCATGGAATGCCATGTTGGTCCCCTCCGACCTGACATCCTTTGACTGTAAAATGAAAGAAGCCAGAAGCAAAACAATGCCTTCATCCAATCAGATGCAGCCGCTGGTTGAGTATTCTGACAGCCACTTGCATCAGCTGTCAGCGTACAATAGACAGGACTGCAGATTCATCCATCCATGCTGTATAGTGTAGGTCAGGCATGTCCAAAGTCCGGCCCGTGGGCCATTTACGGCCCGGGGGTCGGTTTTAATACGGCCCTCAAACAGCCCTCCCTGCTCTGTGTAATGTGGCCCTCCCACGGCCCTCCCTTCTATGGCAGACAGTCTTCTGCTTGAGAGCAGAGGGCAGTGCGCATGCCTGACTGCGGCGCGTTCTCCCTGATCTGTGTAAATGCAGCTGTCGCACGGCCCTCCCTTCTGTGGCAGACAGTCTTCTGCTTGAGAGCAGTGCGCATGCGTGACTGCGCCGCGCTGGGAGCGACAGAGGGCGGTGACGTCAGGGCCGGGCTTCCAGCGTGAAGTGTGTTTCTCTTCCCATCCCGGCTGCTGAGCAGAGACTTCAGCTCCAGCTACCTTTTTCACCCTTCACATTAGTGCAGGTAAGTTTTTTTAAAATTTATTTTCAATACATTGTGAAAACTCAGCTGTCAGTTGATCTTAATGTTATGAAATGAAAAGTATGTCGTTTGCAATTAACTTGGCATAAAATAATTTATTTGCCTTTAATTGTAATGGTTCAAAGAATGTTGGAAAAATGTTCGGCCCTCCACCATGTTCACTTCATTCAATCTGGCCCTCTTTGAAAAAAGTTTGGACACCCCTGGTGTAGGTAGATGGACGGATCTGTCAGATTTTATTTCTGTGTATGTCCAGTTTAAGTCCTACATTCTCCTCTCTCCTCCGATGTGTATTTCATTCTGTATTTTGCTTCATATTTACATACAGACCAAGTTGTCCATCAAAAGCAACTGTCCAGAGAAACTAGAACATTCACTTTTTATTCACTTTATATTCCTATACAGTTATCAAAGGATTGTTTCTTTTGTGATAGTCTCTCTGAGGCCTTGTTTGGATGGTCATGTTATGGTAACTAATGCACAGCAATGTGTGCCGTGGTGCAGTGTGTTTGGGTGTCATTCACAATGACTGCACAGTACAAGGCAAGGTACAAGGCATCACCACACACATTACAAAATTCTGCCTGTCCCATTTTAGGGGCATTAACATGCTCTGCCAGACAATTGACAAAGAATGGACTACTGTGTTAAAGCAGGTGCATTGACGCAACACACAGTCACACCACTCTGTTCAGCTGAAGGAATGTCCTATGCAAAGTATAGGTTGTCGGAGTTGTAGCTTACATAGACTCTTCATATGACAGCGATAACTGGCCCAGTGCTGTCATATAGAATGAGCTATGTGCACCTCTGTACCTGAAAATAGAGGGTAGCTCCTTAATTTCAGACATGAAATATGAACAAAACATATCCCTCTATAGTGTCTACTTGTCACAATTCAGGGCACTGAGAGTCATTTCTGTCTGCTGCTTCATTCCTCTGCTATCAGCATTAGTCACTTATGACAAGTTTTCCTGACACCAAGAGAAAAATGGTGACAGGAGAGGGATTTCCAGCAGATGGACAACCTGAGCTCTGTTCCTGTGTGCTGTGTGGAGGGAGTGTGTCTTTTTCCCTCCAATCAGCTCTCAGAGCTCTCCTCACTGAGCTCTGCAGAGTATAACTTCAACTCTCCGCCCCTTTTCTTCTACAGATCTATAAACTTTATAAATTCAGCATATTTAATGGATGTAGAGAAGAGAAGACTGCAGGTAAACAGGTACAACTTATGTAGGAGGATTTGTTTCATCTCTCTGTATTACCTGATGCCAGTCACTTCAGTGGGTATATGTAAGGGTTTACAATTATTTTAATGGTGAACAGAGCAGAAAAAGTGAGTTTATGCTGCTGAGGATTGGGGGGGGGGGGTAGATTAAGGGTCCATTTACATCTTTGCACATTGGTAATACAGCAACCTGCTTCAATGCTCACTGTATGTGCTGTGATGCCATTCATTGTGAATAGCACCCCAACACACCCCACAATGCATGATAATGTGTGATAGAGTGTGGTGGTGCATTCGAAACAAATCCATCATTATTGACGTGTTTTAGGGACGTTGCCCACCCATTATGTTCAATTGCCTACCTTAACGCACTGCACAATAACACACAACGTAACGCACTGCAGAATAACACGCAACGTAAAGAACTGCACAATAACGCAACGTAACGCACAATAACACGCAACGTAACGCACTGCAAATAACACACAACGTAACGCACTGCACAATAACACACAACGTAACGCACTGCACACAATAACACACAACGTAACGCAACTGCTGCACAACAACATAAAGAACACACAACGTAACGCACTGCACAATAACACACAACGTAACGCACTGCAGAATAACACGCAACGTAACGCACTGCACAATAACGCACACAAAAGAACACTGCACAATAACACAACGTAACGCACTGCACAATAAC